AAGAGAGGGGAGACAAAGGAGGAAATGCCTCCCCCACAGCCAGTCTGATAGTGGACCCAGTAGTGTTCCTATTACTTATCTCTCTAAGAAATTCTCAGTCACTGTCATACTCAGCTGGTCATTATGATGCATATTATAAGAACCAATCAATAACAGCCAAATACTTTGCTTGTGTACTTCCTGCTTATTTATCCCATATAAGTGCGAACCTACCAGAGATCAGGGTTTGGTATTTTAGACATGATCCTGATCAGCCCAATTGATGTAAAATAAATCTGCCTCTAAATCCTGAGTGTCTTTTTAGTATTTGTTTTCTCTTTTGCAGCATCATTTTTGTTATTTCTTTCTTTATCTGTGTACTTATATTTTCTATGATTTCACTGAATACCCCCTTGACTTGTGTTCTAATTGCCTTTGTTACCTTTTAAATAATTTGTGCCTCTTACTTTTTATGTTCTGGCCCTTCATGCCCCCTGGACTGGCTTTTATGAAATTCAGAAATTGGGGAGACATTTATTTGCCTTCTCTCTTCATGTTTCTGCTGGGGTTTTTCTTTCTTTTGTTGGTTGTTTGTTGCTTAGGTTTGTGGATGTTTGTAACGCAAAAACTTTGTTGAAGGTACAGAGATATCTTTAGTCACTTTTCAGTGTTATACTTTGGGTATGATTAACTATTGTCTTTGGCCTCAATCCTAAAATCTGACCATGTTTTTATAGTTTGGAAGGGGAGAATGCAGTGTAATTATCTCCATAGCAAATTTCTCCATAAATGCAGTCTAATATTGTTACAAATGTAATCTGAATGCTGGCTTACAGAGAAATAACAACAAATATAGTGATACCTCTATTATTGAACTCAATTCATTGCAAATTCATATTTAAAAAAACAAAGAGTTTGGTGATTGCACATTTTTTCCCAAAAAACATAATGGAGAACCAAATAATTGATTCTGAGGAACAAAAGTAAGTTCATTTTTTTCTAAGACTTTAGACAAATTTTACAATTATTTCTTTCATTAACTCTATTGTGGCCCTAACAGTTTTCCTCTAAGTTTTACTGCTAGTATCACTAACTTTCTTTGGAACCATGGTTATGCTTTTGTATGAAAATAAAGTCCAAAGAATCACAGTGAAGAATGCTTTAATGGACTAACATAACACCATATGTTATCTGGGGGAGAGTGGCATTTAGAGTAAAGCATAACCCCTTTTGTTTCCACAATGAGACATGACATGTAAGTTATTCTTGGATAGTACAGGATTTTTAGTTTAACTATGGAACAAAGTTGCACACACTGAGCAGAAATATTTTCAAACTTTGCTGTTTGAGTAGTGGACACTTTGAGCTTGGAGCCATTAAACAACTCAGATAACACTTTAAGCAGCACTGGTAATATCAAGCACATCAGTTACAACAGTAATATTCAAGTCAAACTGGATATGAACATAGCATAAGAACTAATCATATGCATTCTTTAACACTAGAGAAGAAATCCAAACTTGTAGTGTAAACATTAAGATAATCTAGGTACTGATTTAAGACCGGGGGTTTGTGAAATAGCTCCACGGTCTAAGCACCTGTCTGCCAAGTGCAAGGACCAGAGTTCTACCTCTGGTACTGCATGCCCTGCCAGCCCCAGAACTTCAAGCATGCCTGGTCACTGAAACCAGGCATGGTGGTGAATGTCTGTAATCCCAGTTAATGAGAGGCTGAGACAGAGGGATCACTATGAGTCCAAGCTGTGTAGCAAGACGCTGTACCAAATAAGGGATTTAAAAAGCTTTTCAAAAAATAAACCTAATGTGTATTGAATACAATGACTATGGCTGCTAATCATAGAAAAAGATGCAATGGTATTTATACAGTGTTAACTGTGAAAATATTAGTAAAGCTTCATGGTTATATGACTATAACATTGTTTAGCAGGAGAGGATGAAGGAGGAAAAATTTGAAACTTTAAACTATGATATGAAAAGGAGGATGAATAAGTGCTAAAAATAATCTTACCAGGGAGTAGAATAATATTTATAGAAATAGGTGAAGCTAAGAGAAAAATTGGCAAGAAATGACATATAAAATCTATAACAGAAGTCAATATAAGAAAAAAATAGAGAACAAATAAAAAGAAGCAAAAGGGCAAGTGCACAAGTCTTCAAAACAAACATAGTTTACTTGCACAAAACTGATCAGTTTTGAGAGATCATTAATACTCTTGAAGTGGTTTTTGTGGAGGTGAAACAAATGGTGAGAATTTGAATTGGTCCCTCTTATGATAGTATTAAAATTAAGTCTACTTAATTTATCAAGTAATGTTAATGCCCTGATTTTATATACTTGTATCTATCATTAAACTTTGTGATACTTGAAAAAAAAGAAGCAAAAATGAAAAGTAGCAAAAAAGAGATAAAAGCACAAACAAAAACTATGCAATCTCCAATAAACTAGTGAAACAAAAGGGAGAGAGAAAAACAAGAAAGAAGAAGCAAACAAAACTAAACTGAAAATAATACATACACTAGCAAAAGACAAAAAAAAACAAAAAAACAGAACAAAAAAGGAATCACAAAAAACAAAAACAAAACAAAATTCTGTGATTCTCAATGTGTGATTTTCTTTTGGGTTCTACAACTTTGAGGCAGTGTCCAACTCAAGATGTTTTACTACCTGCGCTGGTAAATATAGAAGGCAGTTAGACCCCACATCCTAAGTGGATGCAGGCAATACCAGGCAGTAAGTTTAGGGCAAGGTTTCCAATACCATGACTTTCAAACTCAGAGTAATTCAGGCTAAGTCTGGCCTCTGCTCATGGTAGCTGTGTCTGAGTGGCATTAGCTCAACCTCTCAGGTCTCTTTCTAGCCTGACTTCAGCTCCTTGACCAGTTTACACTGGCTTTCTTTTAACCAGTCACCTTGGAAACATAAGACTTGGAGCGCAGAAGTGAAACATCCTTCCATCTGCCCTGTTCCTCAGGTTCAAACAACCAACTCTTCCCTGGAAAGGTGTCCAAGTAAGCCCTCTATCCAGTATTATGGCAGGTGCTTGGACTAGAATTCCTGGCAAGCTATTGTCTTTCAAAGAACTCACATATACTTAACTCACCCCTTCCACTACTATGTATCTACCTAAAGGCCTTTGACCCTGGGGTCCTCAGCGTTCACTTTATCTGTAGTTTTTAACTTTCCTGTTATTAATTCCTGGTTTTGGGGGATCTACTCTCTTGTTCTTCTTCAGTTTGTTATTTTTCAATATCTGGATCCCAAAGCTAAGAGAGACTCAGTTTTGCACTCTCCCTCTTTCCCAGAAGTCTATTCTCATTAATTTGATTGTCTCTTTCCCACATAATGTAACTTTCCAGGACAAGAGTAATGGTTTGAATTATCATGTAATCCCCACTGCTCAGAACAGTATTTGTCTTCTGGTACACATGTAACACATTCAAGATCACCTTCAAATTTAACCTGCACTAAATTAAACATTAGCACATTCTTACTATTTAACTTCAGTTTAAATGTTTATTACATTTTCAAAGCACCTGCAGTTACAGGTATATCATAATTTTCAAAACTATACTGTGTCCTTATTCATTTTATATTGATGACCTCATTTTTTAGGAGGAATCTGCAGACAACCTGAAAATATTACTATATGCGCTAACCTTATCATCAGTTAAAAGCTTCCACTTCAATTTAAAATATTTCTTTAAGTGGAACCTGAAAAACTTAATTTGTGCATGAAGATTCCTGCTCTCCTATACAGATGGTTATTTTATGACACTTGTCCTAATTTTAGAGGACAGTCTATGGATAGCCTATGTGTAGCTCAAAGTGTTTCCAATTAAAAGTATATGGAAAACATATTCTAAGATCCTCAAACCACTTTACTGTATTCCTTTTTAATCCCTTGTCTCCTTCCTCCAATGACTTCATCTGTTATGAAGTATGACTTGATATGTTAAAAGCAAAGTCAAGAAGAAAAAAAAAACTTGAATATATAAAGATACAAAAAATGTAGAACAGAAGCTGATACAGCAATGAGAGGAATTATATTTTATTGCTGCATTCATTCTTTAACTGCTCATAAACCATTTCTAATAGCAGTAAAATATTCTACAAAGATATAAAATTCCACCTAAATCTGTTACCAATTTATAAATTTGTATTATCATCAGTAATAAACATACCATGCAATAGTTTTGGGAGTATGACAGGAGAGAACAAGGAATGCATACAAAGCAGGAAATAAATAAAAATAGAACAGTGTCAGCGAGACAGCTCAGTGTCTATGTATCTGCTTTGACAAGTGCAGGGATCAGGATTCAATCCCTGCTCCTGCATGCCACTCCGGCCTGACCCCCAGGGCACGCTGAGCCAGGACCGAGTCCAGGCGTGATGGTGCACACATGTAATCCCAGTGCTGGGGAGACTGAAAACAGCAGAATCACTATGAGTCTGAGCCTCATAGTAAGACCCTGTACCAAATACATAAATGGAAAATAATAATTTAAAAAATGAAAAAAAGAAATAAAACATTTTTCTTATTCTTTGGAAATTCTGTTTATAACATGATAATAGGATTCTCAAAAACGTATGCGCATATTAAAAATCTCCATGATTTTACTGTTGAGATTTGGCTTAATTTTACAGCTTTGTTTTTTCAGAATCCATTAAACTAAAGCACCCAAGATACCATCAAACTAGAAAGTTTTTTTCAGTCTACATATCTCACTGTTTCGCTGCTTGTAATAGTCTTGCCCTTCACCATACCATGTTACAGATCACACAGAGCAGAGGCTCAGAAATGATATTAACAAAACTATAAATTGAGGACAAGAAGCCTAATTTCAAAAGAAAATACCAGTACACTATATGCTGGTTTTTATGAAAACAACTGATGGGGTAATTTTATTTCATGTTCCTTCTTTTAACATTTTATGTTATAGAATATAAACCTAGCATTCTTCACTGTCAAGTACAAAATAATCTACATTTAAATATCTTACCAGTTACCACTGTCATCAGAGAAATGAAGATTGCTGAAAAATGACACAGGTTTAGATGATTTGAAGCAGACATGGAAAATGAGTTCATTATTAGTGCCAGTATTAGAGCCTATGATGATTTGGTCTTTTATGAAGCTCACTGTAAGTGGGTGAATTTCTTCATTATCATTAAGAAGCTTTACTTTGAGAATCTGGAAAGTTACAGTTGAATTTCTATTTAAAATTAAAAAAAAGGTATTAGCTCAAAATACACTGTACTTATATGTATGCTTTTTGCTTTTTAAATCTTTTGAAAGATTAACAAAATATATTTCCAAAAATATTCTCAATTATTTTTTACAATTTATTTATGTATTTATTGATTTATTTGATACAGGGTCTTGTTACACAGTTCAGACTTACACTGAGTCTCTTGGCTCAGTCTCCCCAGTGCTGGATTATAGGCTTGCACCACCATGCCTGGTTTTGTGACCTGCATGGTGTGCAGTACCTGGTATTGAATTTAGGTCCTTGGGTTGCCAGGTAGGCACTTAAGACTGCCAAGGTATTTCTCTAGCCTCTCAATTATTAAATATAACTTTGCATCACCTTATTTTCTCTTAAGAGTATATGACTGATAATGTGTTAATTTACCACAGAAACATTTGAGGGGATTCAATGTTTCTCCTGTTCTATAAAGATTAAAACAATGATAAAATCTTTGATTAAATACGATGTATTTTTAACATTAATTGAAACAAATATTATTGTTCTTAAGTATAGCATGAAAATAATTTACCACAAATTATCACTTCATTGCATATTTGGTGTACACAGTTAACAATGCATGTACATACATGCACAAATTTTTAAATAGGTATAGTATGAAGCTTTTATCACACATTATTTTAAATCACTATTCATCAAAATTTCAACTAACATTTAAAT